AGAGAGAGAGAGAGAGAGAGAAACAGGGAAACACACAACAAAGTTAGTGGCCTGGCTGGCAGGCTGGCTGGCATTCACAGCTGTGGGCAGGGGTGGAGGAGGTCTTGGGGGCACCCAGGCATCAGGCCCTCTAGCTGGGGCCCACTGCTGCACCCCAGATCCAAGACCTTAAGGGGTGACTCTGCTTAGGGCTGTCTCTGCCTCTGGGGGATGGAAAGAGACGTGGGGTCCCTTCTTTGCACTGCCTTTGGGTGGTGCTGGGAGAGAGCCCCTCCCACTTTTCTCTGAGGATGCCTGCCCGTTCTGCCCCTGCCCAAAATGTATTTGTAACCCCCTCACTTCCCCAACCCCAGTCCCAAATGGAGAGTGGAAACCCACCCTTGTGTGAGGAAGAAAGGACCGGAGGGCACTGTCCAAGGGTGACACAGGAATGGCGAGAGAAGACCGTGGGGGCCTGGCCTCATCAGGTGAAACCTACAAGCTCCCGACTGGGGTTTGGGGCAGCAGGTGGGAGGAGAGAGGGAAGAAGCCACTGCTAGATGCAGACTCCTGCCCTGACCCTGGCAGGCAGGGCAGTGTCCCCCTGGCCGAGACCTTGTCTGGTAGGCAAGGTGGGTAGGGAGCCCTGCAGGCCATAGTCACCTATGGGACCTTCCCTTCCTCCTGGTCTGTTCTCCTGGCACCCTCCACCCCACCCCTTCCACTGATCAGCTGTGTGACTTTGGGCAAGTGTTTAACTTCCCTGCGCCCCCTGCACCTCAACCAGAGGTATAACGGTAGCTTTACGTGGGCAAAGCACTGATATTGCCTGTCATATAGTACATATTCTGTAAGTGTTAGATGTTGTCTCTATTTTTGGCTTTGTATGTGATTTTCCCACCAGTCCTAGGATAAAGTTGTGTACAGGGTGATGGACACTTTGCTGGAGAATGGGTGAGGAGGCAGGGAGCAGGTGGGGGGACAGGGAGCCTGTAGCATGGCTGAGTCAAGAAGCAGAGATGCTTTCAGCTTCTCCAGCCTCCCAGGGTTCAGGGCACACTGTTATGTGGGCGTTGTCCCCTTCTGAGCTGGTGTGTCAACCCGGGGTATCCCTTAGGCTGGTCAGACGACAGAACGGGTTAGAGGGAGGGCCTGGCTAAGGGTGGCCTCTATGAACAGCCAGCCCCAGCCAGGGCTGTGGGCTGTCTCTGTCACTGCTCCACTGGGTGGTGGCTGGGGTGGGGGTGGGGGGTCTCCCACTCTCCGAGGAGGCAGCCACCCCCTCTTTGGCCATCCACAGCTTGTGACCAGACATCCTCATGCCCCAGGGAGAACCTCCCCCTTCGCTCCCTCTGCGGGCCCCCTGCCTGGTGCTCGGGTCAGGAATGGAGCCAAGATTGAGGTATGAGCTCCAAGAAAAACGTGTCCCAGCTAGAAAAAAGGAACACATTGAGTCTCTGATAAAGGCCCCTGCTAATTGTCAGGGTAGAGGTTTGGCTGCCTGGCCTGGCTGAGGGATGTTATCTTAGGGTAGGAGCAATCCAGCCCTCCCT